CTGACGACGCTGGCTACCGTGTGGGGGACGCATTTGTCCTGGGAGCCAGCGTGGACGCTAGACCCCAGGGAGGAGGCCGGTCAGCAGAACGAAGGAGCCAAGTGGGGCTTCGGGCCCCCAGCTGAGCCGCCCCCCGGGGGCCACCCGCCCTCAGCCGGGGGGCAGGCACTTGGCAGGACCCTGAGGAGATGCGCCAGGAGCCCAGCACGCTGCCTGAGCCTCGCCAGGTCTGTGCCTTCAAATCCCTCCTCCCGACACCGTGCAAAGCGGAGGCGAGGAAGGTGGAGGGGAAGATAGGGAGACACCTCACTCTCCACTCTCCCTCTTCAGGGAGGAAAACATCCTTCCTCGAAATGGGGGGCACAAAATCGGAAGGAACCCCGCCCCCATCAGGCTCAAGAGCCGGGCAGACAGCGCTCCCACCACAGCTCCATCACTCCGGGCAGTCACCTCACTCACCGCTCAACCCCGACCTCTAGCCCCAGGTGAGTAACATCCGCTATCGTCTCAGCAGGGATGACACGCGGTCACGGCTGGGGCGGGCACAGCGGAGGCCTGTGCCTCCCCCACCTCCTGCCGACTCGGCCCTGGACACAGGCTCCATCGCGGTCAGAGCGGCCGCACGCCCACCCTTCACCCACAGAGCAGACCACCGAGACAGCCCTGAGCAGTTCACCTGCGTTTTGGTCCAGAACCATTTGCCATATTCTCCTGTCCTGAACACACAGGTCCCTGTGTGGTGGTCTAACCAGTTGGTAGTGTTTTGAGTCATACATCATGGGGCCAATGGCGCCTTAACCACGAATTACATTAATATATCATCAAAGCTACGGCACTGGTATGATGTATGGCTTCCATACATCATTGGGGTGCCAGGCTGCTAATGATGTATTACTCAAAACCATAGCAACAGCTAGAAAGATCAAGATAAGTTTTGTATTTTTCAAACTTATTCTCAGTAAATGCAACTTTTTTTCTCAGTTTCTACAATAAAATACGTGTTCCAAGGGTATATGGGGACGCAAGATCTCCTGATAAGTATCAAGACGTTTCCTGGGTTGTTTACTGTGTATTTAGTCACTCAGCCGTGTCTGACTCTTTGTGAGCCTGTGGACTGGAGCCGGCCAAGCTCCTCTGTCTGTGGGATTCTCCAGGCAAGAATACTGGAGTGGGTTGCCATTTCCTCCTCCAGGGGATCTTCCCGACCCAGGAACTGAACCTGCATCTCCTGTGTCTCCTGCATTGCAGGTGGATTCCCGTTGGGCCGTCAGGGAAGCCCCCGTTTACGCTATACCTTGCTCCTAAGTTCACTTCGAAATACCGAAACCAAGTCTCAGAAAAATCGTCATCACCGATGAATGTACAGTCCTCTGCATTTTCCAAGGGTCTCCAGTCCAGAGTCACAATTGCAAGTCTGTAGAGCAACCGTTTTGCTGATGAAATTCAAGCATTTTCTCTGCAAACTTTCCAAAGGACCTAGACTATGTCAGGGCAGAAACATCCTTCAGTCAACTCACAGGCAGGCTAGCTTCATGCAGCCTGACACAGCAAATGCCTGCATCTCTGCTTTCTCCTCCTCACCTGCAGAGGATGCAGGCAGCGTCCCTGAGAGATTCCCACTGTGTCAGAGGGATTTAAATCTAAACCACAAACCTCCCACCTGGCAGCCCTGGGCCGTCTCTATTTTTAGCACAACGCGAATCGGCAAAGAAAGGGGAATCGTATAATTGCACTCGCTGCAAGAGTAACTCCATCGCTAACGGGGAAATCTTTTGATCCAGATTCTCACTGCAAATCTCAGCTGTCTGACACCAGTTCCATTCACTCGAGGATGGTCTGAAGAGCAAAGAGGCACTCGGCGTGTGCACACACACTCACAGAAGCACACACATGCACACCACATGCCCACAAAGCAGGAGAACGAGGCATTAGAGCCAGGGAGCTAAGCCCAAAGCAGGCCTTCTGCAGGAGATGCTGGTATCCTACTAACCACGGGCCCTCGGATTCGACTTTTCACTCTAATTCCTAAGAAACTTCAGGAGCTTCCCTGGTGGTCCAGTGGCTGAGATTCCGTGATCCCAAGGCAGGGGGCCCGGGTTTGATCCCTGGTCAGGGAACTAGATCCCACAACCTCAACTAAGAATTTGCATGCTACAACTAAACATCCCATGTGCCAAAACTGAGGCCTGGCACAGCCAAATAAATAAGTGTTAAATAAAAAGAAACTTTCAGAATCAATGTCAGTTAGAGAAGGGAACTGTGGTGCTGGAGAAGACTCTTGAGAGTTCCTTGGACTGCAAGGAGATCCAACCAATCCATGCTAAAGGAAATCAGTCCTGAATATTCATTGGAAGGACTGATGCTGAAGCTCCAATACTTTGGCCACCAGATGTAAAGAGCTGACTCATTAAAAAAGCCCCTCCTGCTGGGAAAGTTTGAAGGCGAGAGAAGGGGACGACAGAGGATGAGATGGCTGGATGGCATCACCAACTCAATGCACATGAGCTTGAGTAAACTCCAGGAAATGGTGACAGACAGGGAGGCCTGGCGTGCTGCAGTCCATTGGGTCGCAAAGAGTTGGACACGATTGAGCGACTGAATGACAGCTCCCAGGTCTACGCAGAGGTGGGAGCACGTTTCTGAAGCCTCTGTGCCCTCAGCGCTCGGCACGTCCTGAAACTCAGCGCAGCATCCTGATCCCTAAGTGGGGTGCCTCTTGCCATTTTCCCAGGCAGGCGGGAGTGCATCATCCCAGATCCCTCTGAGCCCCTCGAGGCAGGAAAGCCAGTCCTCATTCCGATGTCTGACATGGGAAGTGAATCCTCTCCCCCTTCCTCTCTTCATCTGGGCTGAAGGCTGCAGGGGAGCCGGCTGTGTGAGGATGGATCAGGGAGAATTGATGATTCAGCACCTGCGCTTCTTGCCTGGAGCTCGGTGATCACTTTAGTCTCAATCAGCAGATAGAGAATGAAAGCCCCGGAGAAGAGACAGGAAGATTCACGCCAGAAAAGGCAAGAGTGACAAAGATCCTCGACTCAGAAGCGGGGTGTGTGTGATGGGCTTGGCCTGAAAAGACTCTACCAGATGGGTTTATGCTTTGTTCTTGAAGGCAACCAGAGAAGGGGAGCCTGGTTACCTCTGAACCGGTTAACCACAGAGCCACGGGGGACCTCCGAGACTGGAGTCCAGACCCTGGTTTTACAAATGAGGCTCATGAAATGCCGAGGGGATCTGTGATTCCTGAACCATTCTGGAAGCATTTGTTCATTATTACACTCCGTGGGGCTCAGATAGGAGTGGGAGCTTTTCTCTGTCCAGAATGACAATTTTCCTCGTCTTCTGCACTTGGTCTGCGTCCAGCTCCTACTTTAAAAGCCAAGCCCAAGTCTCACCTCCTCCAGGAAACCTTCCTGATTTCCCCCAGCCTATGGTGCTTCCCCTGGAGGCTGACCGTCTCGGAGCTTTGACAGAGTGCTGCTTTGTGTAACTACTCACACTTTCTAAGAGACACCCAGTAAGCTCAACCTCAGCAACTTCAGAAAAAACGCCCTTTGAGGATCACAGATCTGCTTCGGGAGCAGGGTTGGGGGGGCGGGTGTGTGGGAGGAGGGTGGGGGCAGAGGAGCAGGCACTTCTTAGAGCAGCTGTCTAACTCAGGGAGTTGATAAAGGCGGGAAACAGACGGTGTGATACAATCTTTTGTAAAGATTGAAGAAAGTCCTAATGCCATTCTGTATATTTGCCTGCTTCCTGCCTTATGGACAACCTGGCTATGTGCCTTATTTGCAAAGAGGAAGGAAGTTCTGTAGCAAGTCCCTTAATCAGGGTGCAAAGTAAAACTTCTGTGCCCCTTTCACCAGTATGCAATAATCACTTCTTTCTAAGCTTTTAAGCTGAATTGGCACGGTATCATTTTTATGCATAGGTAAATAAACGAATGGAAAAAGACCCTGATGCTGGGAAAGACTGAAGGCAGGAGGAGAAGGGGGCAACCGAGGATGAGATGGCTGGGTGGCATCACCGGCTCCAATGGACATGAGTTTTAGCAAACTCCAGGAGATGGTGAAGGACAGGGAACCCTGGTGTGCTACAGTCCATAGGGTCACAAAGAGTGGGACACGCCTTAGGGACTGAACAACAACAAAATATATAATGATACAGTTATACAGGCAGAGAGATGGATATGCAATCTGTAGTTTCCTACACACACAAAGAAACATAACAAAGTCTTTGGTCATTTTTGCCTAGATCCTTTAAAGAAAATTAGAAATTGATGGCTATACCATAATTCTTAAGAAACATATTATTATATGGTTTCTTGAGGAGAATTGTCTTTTTTTTTTTTTTTTGTCAGTGCCACACCGCTTGTGGGATCTTAGTTCCCCAACCAGGGATTGAACCCACACCCTCTGCGGTGAAAGCCTGCAGTCCTAACCACTGAACCGCCAGAGAATTTCTAGCGGTCTTGTCTTTAACTGCTTCAAGTAAACAAGAGTTTCTCACACTCACCCAAATAAAATGCTTCCTAATTCTTCTGAGTTTTCCCACAGATCATCCAGAGAGAGCCTGGGGCTCCACTGAGTTTTCAAGATATGAGGAAAGGCGTGTTTCTTGCAAAGTAGCCATCTTTCAAATCTGTAAAGCGTGGCCTTAGGAGATGCACCTTGGAAAAGGATCTGCCAGCTACTCCATTAACAGCCCATATATTAACAGAAGAGTAAATAGGGAGGTTGATCATGTAGACACAGAAAGCAGAGTACGGGCGACCGTAAGGCGTCCACTGGGGTGGGGGACGGGGAGGCTGGTGGAGGGGGTCAGCGCAGATGGACGGATGCTCAACTTCGGCGGTGAGCGTGTCGTAGTGTCAACAGCAATGGAAGGACAACGCTGCGCACAGGAAACATGCGACGCTACACAAACGTTCACTAAAAAAAACTAAATTGGAAATAAATACGTGTCTCAGGTTCACTGGCGCAGCAAGGCAGCACAGGGAATCGCTTTCACTTAAATCGAATTCCATGAACCCCACCGAGCGTGTCGCCTCCTCCTCCCCCGGAGTCTTGGGGCGAGACCCGCAAGCGCAGCACGACTCGGGGCCTCCCGTCGGAGCCGGACCCCGCCTCGCGGACGGTGCGCGGGACCCTCCCTCCCTGCCGGGCCAGCGAAACGCAAGGCGCGGCCGGACCGCCCCGTCGGCCCACGTGACGCCCTCGAGGCCAGACCCGGCTCCCCAGGAAAGGACGGCCAGGCGCGATGTGTTTCCCCCGGCGCTGCGGGCGCTCCCCGACCTTCCTTCCTGCCCGCGCCGCATCCTTTGTTACCAAGATAACTTGTTTATAAAAGGGCTGGGGGTCGGCTACGGAAAACAAGGGGCACGCGCGCGGCCTGGGCGTGCCGGGAAAGGGGCTGCGCCTGCCTCGGTCCAGGCTTCCAGAAGCGTCGTGTGGACACGAGAACTCCCCCAGGCTCAGAGTTTCACCCTGCGAACTGCAGACAGTTCCCTTCTCTCTCCCCGTTGTGATTTGCACCTTTCACGGCACTGTATGCCCTTGTTTCTGAAGGGTAAAACGGCGTTTGTACGCATGCCTGGCAGCTCATCCTATGTGCCAAGCCTTGACTAGGAAGAGTAAGAGAAATGAGAAAAACGCAGCACACTCCGCAGCTGGGTACATAGTTACATGTGAGCGGGGTTTCCTAACAGAGTTATATCTGAAAATTTTTTCTAACATTTCTATTTTGTCCATCCTAATGGAAATCTGTCCTGAATAGTCGTTGGAAGGACTGATGCTGAAGCTGAAACTCCAATACTTTGGCCACCTGATGCGAAGAACTGACTCATTGGAAAAGACCCTGACGCTGGGAAAGATTGAAGGCGGGAGGAGAAGGGGTCAACAGAGGACGAGATGGTTGGATGGACATGAGTTTAAGCACGCTCCAGGAGTTGGTGATGGACAGGGAGGCATGGCGTGCTGCAGTCCATGGGGTTGCAAAGAGTTGGACACAGCTAAGCGATTGAACTGGTACTGATACTGAAATTGAATAAAGATCCCATTTTAACCAAAAAATGAAATAAAAATGCATTTGTGTGTTTGGGTATAATGCACATTATGCAACAGATATTAACCAAACTTTCTGTGGTGGTCATTTCAAAACAAATAGTGAATCATCATGTCCACCTGAAACTGATATGTCGATGATACCTCAATTTTTATTTTCTTGATTTTTAAAAAATGTAAATATGGGGGGCGTGTAGTTGATTCACAATGTTGTGTGAGCTTGAGGTGTACAGCAAAGTGATTCAGTTACATACAGACATATTCATTCTTTAGATTCTTTATCACAGGATGTTGATTCCTCATTTTTAAAAATGCATTTGTGCACGGCTCTGCCACGTCCACTTTGCAAGTCTTGCGAACCCGCCCCCTCACCGTCTGCTGTGTCTACACTGCACTGCTGCCCCCTCCTCCGGCGGCCCCTGACCCCACGTGGGTGGTCCCTGCACCTGGAACCTCCTTCCCATCCCTTGCCCAGCCAATCACTCCTTGTACCCCACGTCTCACCTCAGTCTCCCCTTCCCCAGGAAGTCTCCATGACCCCAGGCATGACACCCGGAAAGGGGTGAAGGGGTGACGCTCGGTGACTGGTTGAGGAGCTGACCTGGGGGGAGGGGAGCCCTCCTCACCGAGAGGCTCCCTCGTCTGTACCGGAGCACATGAAGACCTGGGAGTCCACCCAGGCTGCTGTGCAGAAGCCCTAGCTCCCGAGGAGGCCCAGTGTCTAGAATAGGTGAGGTTCCTGGCAAGAAGAGCGACTGGCAAGAAGTTGAGTTCTTCAAAGACCCAAAAGGATTTGAATCTTACCAGTATGTCTCATGCTGAAGCTGAAGGTCCAATACTTTGGCCACCTGATGTGAAGAATCGACAACTCATTGGAAAAGACCCTGATGCTGGGAAAGATTAAAGGCAGGAGGAGAAGGGGATGACAGAGGATGAGATGGTTCGATGGCATCACCGACTCATTGGACATGAGTTTGAGTAAACTCCGGGAGTCAGTGATGGACAGGGAAGCCTGGCATGCTGCTGTCCATGGGGTCGCAAAGAGTCGGGCATGACTTAGAGACTGAACAAGTAGATCTCAAATAAACAAACAAGTTCACATATGTACATGCCTAGGTGTTTCCTGGGTCTTACAAGGCATAAACTCATCATGTGGATAAATATGCTTCCCACTGAGGAGACGTAAGAGGACCCCAGGAGCCTCTGAGGGTTCCAAGACCTGGAGCAGCTCTCAGAGACCCACTGGCATGAAACCCAGCTCTCAGGACAATCTGTAGTCAAATTACAGAACTCAGTCCTTTTGGAGCTCAAGGGCCAACCTGCCTCTTTCCTGCAAGAGCATCCAATACCCTTGAAAGCTTCAAGGGACAGGAAAATTCACTCACACTGAGCCCCAGAACTAGGAGTGGCCCAATTAGCCATCTCTGAATAGGATGAATGATATTGCACAGACTGACTCAGGTTTGAATCCAGGCTCCCCCACTTATTAACTGTGTGACCTCGGGCAAGCTCCTTAACCTCTCTGAGCTACCATTTTCCATCTGTTATAAAACAATGGAATGACACTCTCTCAGGGTAATTGGCAGGTTATATAAACCCCTAAGCAAAGAGTGAAGGTTCAGTAATCACTGGCTATGATCATTAATAAATACAAGTGGTTGTTATGGAGACACGAGTGTTGCAAAGTAGAGGACTGTGACACAGAATTTTGAGTTACGTACATCCATTTACAAGAGAGCCACCAAAACTCAGATTGTTACCTGCTGGTTCTTTGTCATATGTCCCTTTTTTAGAGAGCCCTTTGAAACTGGGGGGATATACACTAATATGGCCTGGTATTAACAACATGTCATTGCTTCTCTAAAAGGAATTATACTGCATATCCGCAGGATGAGACTCACCACTCGGGGCTATAATTAGTCCGTGTCTATTAAATAGCAGTTGCACAACTTCCTAGTAATTTACAGGAATCCTAAATTATAAGGCTGCTTCTTGAAAATGTTTTTGCCTCCATCATCTCACCCTCCCAGTCTCTTTAGGCTCAGGGCTTTTAAACCAGAAAGAGAACTAGCTGCTTTTTGCATAGCAGAGAACAGATTCTAAAAGTATCCCTCTAACTCTATCCTAAATTTCACCAACAAGGGGGAGAAAAGGTTTACATGGCAACTGAGAAAGTAATAAGGCAAAGCAACCCACATGAAATTAAGTCTAACAAGCTTATCTTCCCCCGTATCTCTACAGGAACACAGTTGGAAGAAATATCATTCATGTGTGTGTGTGATATTCCATGATGTTAAATTGATTACAAACAGATTGACTGGGTAGAGTGTGCTGTGTTGAATAAGAAAATTTAGTATATGTGCTGCTGAAGTGAGCACAGAGCAAGAAAATTTAAATCAATGGCAGACACTATCCAAAGGTCTTTAAAGAGATCATCACTTTGTAATAATAAGAAAACAGGAATGCACGGATTGCCCTCATTTCCAATGCTAATGCAAGAAAACAGACTTTAAAAATCTTAAATTAAGGTGTATTGTGGATGTGAAACCAGAGTCATATTTAGGAAGAGAGAGTATCTTACATAAAAGTGATATAAATTTGCATTCATCTAGAAAATTCAAAGTAAATCAATATGACATAAATTATAGGTGCTGGAAATTTGTGGGGCTGGTTTTAAAGGAAGATAATGTACGCTGATCTTTACAATGGTGTTACACAAACACGAGCAGAAAGTACAACCTGGACGTCAAGTCCGTTGCAAAGCACACTGGTGGTCCTAGGGTGTGGGCACCCCTAGAATGAACCTGATCAATGTCAGTGACATGCAGGTAACTGGTGGGTAACAGGTGCACTAGGTCGTCAGTGGTCAGGCCTGAGCCCTGTTCCTGAGGTGGGAGAGTGGGAGGACCTCCTTCTCTCTGTCCCCCATCCACGCTGCTGCCCTGATCCAAGTTTCATTTCCATTTTCTCATCCAATTACACCTTGCTCAGTTCCTCACTAAAATTTATAGCAAACTTTGCAAAGCTTTTGACCTGTAGCATCTTATTAAACTTTTATGAAAAATCAATGCCGCTCCATCCTATGGAGGGGCTGTTCCTCACGCCATTGTCAGGGGTGAGTGAAGCCTATTTACCCCCGGATCTGACGAGAGAGATTGAAACTGCAAGAAGTCTTCATCTCATAGGCCAGGGGGCCATAAATAGGAAATTCTCATATTTTTCTAAAATATGGCATTTCAAGAAATGCCACCTTGGGAAAATGAGTCTGAAAAGAAAGCAAAAGCGTAAGTTTTTAATCATTTGTCTTTTTTTATTGTTGTTTTGATTGCATCATTCTCCCCCAGAATAGCGTCTCTGGGCCACGGGGGACCCCCGGGGCGGGGGGAAGCTGAGCTTGGCTGAGAGCAGAAAGAACTGTGCTGGTTGGGGTGGCAGGCTCAGTAGTGAGAAGCCCAGACCCCCAGGGCCTAACCTCCCGGGGGCTCTCCTACTGGCCCACATTCTTAAAGCAATATCAGATCTCTGACCAACAACGCCCTTTCTCCTCTTCCTCTGCTGACTCCCCAGACAAGTTCAGAAACCGTTAAAGGGAAAACTCAAGCCCATTCAAGACCTGGGTAAGGAACCCAGGTCAGAGGGCAGGCTTCCCGCGCCTCCCTGCTTCACTGCGCAGAAAGCACCAACCGCCCTCTCCTCTGGGCACTGGACCCAAGGTCCGGACCCCGCCAGGACCTGGCTGACCTCTGAGTTCCTTGTGTGGGATGCACCGGACCCTCCTGGACAAGGACCTGACCCCACCGTCCCCCTGCTGTACAGCTATTCCAGCGATGTGCACCACCGGTCAGCCGGTTAGACGCCCAAGAACCAGCCCAGAACCCTCTTAACTCGTAAACGTTTCTCGATTCTGTACCCTGGCTCCGACCCTCTCCCCAGCCTCCGCTCTGTCTTTACGTCCAACACGGCAGCCCTCAGTGCTCTGTCCTAGTCCCTCGCCAATGGCTTCCTAACTCTTGTCTCGGCCGCCCATCTTTATTTTAAATATGAAGCAGTAAGTACTTTTTAAAAGTGCAATTGATTTTTTAAATTTATTTTTATTTATTTATTTTTGGCCACACCATACTGCATATGGAATCTTATTTCCCCAGCCAGGTATCAAACTCATGCCCCCTGCGTACAGTATTAACCACAGAACCACCAGGGAAGTCCCTCCGCCTCCCATCTCGGCCACATACATCCATGATAAACTCTGGCTCCATAGTGATCTACCTTTCCCCACATTCTGACCACACACTCCCCGCCACTGAAGCCCTTTGGAGTCCCTATCAGCCGTCTTCACGAGGCCCAGCTAACTTGGAGCCGGGAGCCAGGCCCCTCTCCCTCTTGAATCTGGAACTCGGGGACTTGAGCTTGGTTTCTGTTGAGACTGAACATGTAACAAATGACAAAAGTCATGTCCGACTCTTTGCAACCCCATGGCGTATACAGTCCGTGGAATTCTCCAGGCCAGAACACTGGGGTGGGTAGCCTTTCCCTTCTCCAAGGGATCTTCCCAACCCAGGGATCAAAACCAGGTCTCCTGCATTGCAGACGGATTCTTTACCAGCTGAGCCCCCAGGGGAGCCTTAACAAATGACAAGAGAGGGTGAGACCCACATTCCCTCTTTCTTTGAGCAATGGTTTCCCTCAACATTTCTGAGGGAGAAGCAGCTGCAGTGAAAGGAACAGCTCAAAGCCCACCATCAACTAAATACTCCAGAGTTGACTGAAGGCAAAGGCTTGAAAGAAACTGGAGACTTAATTAGAAGCAGCGGGTTCTCGGTGAGGGGCTGGCTTCCACCCACGGGAGAGAGGAGAGCCGTGCTGGGAACACGGACTGTGCAGACAGACCCCAGCGCAAGCCTCTTTGCCACTGCCTTAGTGTGCGGCCTCGCCACCGGCTCACCTGCGGAGCCTCAGCCTCCTCTCCTGTAAATGGTGATGCTCACAGGATAAGTCACAGGGTCACCGGGAAGGCTTAATGGGAACCTGACCTAGGACCCAGCGGAGAGTGAGAACTCAAGCAAGGCCGGGTATTGTTAACAAACCACCTCACAAGACGTGCTACCAGCTACCAAGATTCTCTGTACACGATAAAATTCCTTTCTTCTCCATGACCTAGTTCCTATATTAGTTTTCTCCATCAGCTCTGTCACATGCAAGACAACCTGCTCAAATTGAACCAGAGTCAAACAAAAGTTAAGCTGTGTTTCAGGGAATTCCCTGGCCATCCTGTGGCTAAGACTGAGCCTCCACCGGGAGGCATAGGTTCAACCCCAGGTCGGGGAACTAAGATCCCACATGCCTCGAGGCACGGCCAAAAAATATGTTATGTGTGTGTGTGGAGGTGAGGGTTTCCCAGGGACGCAGTGGTAAAGAATTCAGCTGCCAATGCAGAAGCGACAGGAGATGCAGGTTTGATCTTCGGGTCAGGAAGATCCCCTGGAGGAGGAAGCGGCAACCCGCTCCGGGATTCTTGCCTGGGAAATCCCACGGACAGAGGAGCCTGGCGGGCTACAGTCCGTGGGCTGCAGAGTCAGACACGACTGAGCGACGGCACGCATGTGTGTGTGTGTTTCTGTGATTGTTAGACACACACACACACACACCTATGTACAACTGAATCACTTTGCTGTACCCGTGAAACACTGTAAATCTACTATCTTTCAAACAAAATAAAGTAACAGGGACAGGATTTGACCCACCTGGTGCAGCGCTCAGCCATCACACTGCTGTCTTCTCGTATCACTTGATCACCCGAAGCCTCCAGGGCCCCGCCTTTTGCCTAAAGAGCCGTCACAGTCGAGCCCACCGCCCAGAGGGCCCCTCCTCCCTCCTCGCCCGCATGCCCCATGGTTAGTTTTTTGGGATTTTGTCGCTGTTGTTTTTCACATGGACCACTTTTAGCCTTTTATTCAATTTCTCACAATACCGCTTCTGTTCTGTGTTTTGGTTTCTCGGCCATGAGGCACGTGGGGTCTCTGTTCCCAACCAGGGGTCAAACCTGCACCCCCTGCATCGGAAGGTGACGCCCCGACCCCTGGACCCCCAGGAAGTCCCTGCGGTTCGTTCTGGACGTGGCCCTCTTCCCTCACACTTTGCACAGGCCGTTCCCTCCGCGGGGAGGCTTTACTCCATGCTGAGTACGGTCAGGGGACCCACTCCTATTCCAGCTCGGCCAGGTGGGCTTTCTCCCCCTCTCTCCCAGGTGTTAAAGCCAGCCGCTATGTCCTGGTTTTCACACTGTAAGATGAATGTTGGTTGCCTCCCTTATTAAACACTAGGCTCCCTGGATGGTGACTTACTCCACTGCGACCCTGGCGAACAGCATATAGGAGATCTAGGTAAATACTTGTGGACTGGATGAATTCATTATACTTGCAGCTGTCATGTAGGAAGCAAGATTAGGAGGCCTGACCATTCTTAAAAACTGACCTATGAATGCGTACCTGAGTATGCGCTCAGTCACTTCAGTCAAGTCCAGCTCTTTGTGACCCCATGGACTGTAATCTGCCAGGCTCCTCTGTCCATGGGATTCTTCAGGCAAGAATCCTGGAGTGGGCTACTATGCCATCTTCCAGGGGATCTTCCCAACCCAGGGATAAAACTCATGTCTCCTGCAGCTCCTCTATGGCAGGCAGATCTTTTACGGCTGAGCTACCAGGGAAGCCCAACTTAGGAACACTAGAATACTAAAAGTATTTTACAGCTTCAAACACATTATCATGTGACCAAAACTCTGTTGCAACCGTGAGCACTGAACCAAACAAATCTTATAACAATCTTTACAACAAGCAATTGAAGAAAGATAAAGTATAATAATAAAAAAAAATAGTATACTCTGGACTCCAGGCAAAAGGCATTAGAAATTGGTATTTTTTTCAAGAAAAAAGTCAACAAACATTTTGGCAGTGAAACGGGAAAGTCAGATTTAGTCAAGATGATATTATCATGGAAAGAAATTGATCCACTAGGCTTGTCTTCTAAAACTTTCAGTTCATCTTGATGTTGTCTCTGAAGGGAATATGATTTTTCTCTGGCTTGAACCTTGATTACCATGGGGGAAAGCTTTAACTGGGATGCTCTTTTGGTGATAGATAAAATGTGTGTGGATGGGTCACAGAACATGAGCAGAATTCTCCAAGGAGTTAAGGGTTTAGTCACTCTACGGCCAACGTAATATTTTTATGAAGCTGTGTTTATAAATATGGCTGATTGTGGAGTACTTGCTGAGATGCTGAATTTTTACTCTTTTAATCCATTAGCCATATAACACAGAACTATGACAGTTCATGAAAATGTTCTTTAAGAAAAGAAAAAAAAAGGAGTGTAGGTTAGCAATATTGTCCAGGAATCTAAAAATAAATCATTCCAAGCTGTGGATAATAGGAAATGGCGGTACAAAAGGACATTTGGGAAAGGACAATGGTTATCAAAAGATGAGGGTAAGCAATTTGAGAAAGTAACCAAATCATACAACGTTGGAGCAAGAAAACCCCTTACAGATCACCATGCCTTAATTACTAACCTCCTTCCCAAGACCTGGTAAAATCAGCTACCAAGTGCAGTGATATTCCAGCTGCTAGCGTTTCAATCCTGTAGAATCTTATGCCCAGACCTGGATATATTTCAACCCTAGTCAGATAAATAATTGCTGTATTTTTAATTCTTTGCAAATCCACTAAGTGTCTGGTATTTTTTAAAAATAATATTGGGATAAACTCCTTTGACTGTTCATTACATGTTTACTGGTATCGTACCATATATCAACTATGTTATAGGAAAACCTGGTGTCAGATTAATCCAGTCTTCCCAGCTTTAATCTTGTGCTCTTTTATAAATCAGAGAGCAGTGTGTTGAAAGATTTCTCCATCAATTACTACAAGAAAAAAATATTTCTCTTAGTGTAATAATTAAGGAAGAAGATACAAATAAATATGGCAAATGGTATAGAATCAGAGCATTAATAAGAAACAATCTTCAATCAGAATGTTTATTTTTTCAGCTTTTCAAGAAAAATCTATTACCATTTATTTTACATGTTTTATATTCTTATCCTCCAAATATCTGAGTGAAATTTGATGCCAGGACAGCTCATAGAAGTAGGTGAACAGAGGAAAATTGGAAACTGGAATGGCATTTAAGTTCTCTGTTTAAAAATAAGTATTTTTGTAAAGCAACTATACTCCAATAAAAATTAATTTAAAAGATAATAAATTAATTATAAAAAGTCAACAATAAGCAATAAAAAAGAAAATAGGCACTTTTTAAAAAGTCAATAAATTTTTAAAAATAATATAACATTCATAAATGATTTTTGAAATTAAAAAATGTTTGAAAGGATGGTCTCTTTTAGGAGAAATAAGAAAACAAAAATAAGGGTTCCTTTCTGTTGAGACAGAATTAAGAAATAAGGTCATCAGAAGATCTGGGGCGGGAAAAAAACAGACATCTCAGGTGTGTAATTTCTCACTAAAGACTAAACTTGGACTGCATCTAAATTTGAATTTTTTAAAAAGCATTCTATACCATCTAATAAATACAAGAGGAAACAGTGTCGAACTGACTTTGAAGAAACACATTTTCATTGACTTGATTACAGGGCCACTGAGAAGTCTCTTCACACTTGAAAAATACTCTTCCTATTAAGTTCATTGAAACCTGAAATTCCAAAATCTTATTTTCCCAGCTTAGAATTTTATCTTATTTTAAAACACAATACTCCTAGGAAAGGTGGACTATTCAACTATTCAGCAAACTGTCATTTATACTTGAGTGTAAGCTAGGTTATCATAATCTCTCTGAGTGTTGCTAAGAGACCAGCAGAAATGATGGAGACTGGATGCAGAGGAGGAAGACAGAGGCAGTAAAGAGGAGGCCCACACAGGCTGAAGTACAGCTCACTCGATATTTGGCTGAAGCTAAAGAGATCTCTAAATTTTGACCACATTAGTCAAGGCAAACGCTAGAACGTCTTCAAATAACTAGACAGTCTTTAACCGCCGTGCATTGCCAGGTTATAGACCCAAAGGCCTGGAAGGGAATCAGCTCGGCCTCCATCTTGGCGGTTTCCTTGGCTGACTCCCTGATCAGGTTTGTTTTGCAAAGGTCACTTAATTAGTACTCTGGGTAACAGTTATAAGTTAACATTATCTTCCCCCAGATAATGATAGCATTTTGCATGTGCTAAGTCAAACAGGAATTAACAAAATTCCGATGGCTTACTTAAATGATAAATAATGAGCCATTTTAAGGAAGCCATCTCCTGGGGTGTGCGGAAAAGCCTGCCACTCCAGTGGGCTCCCGGACCGGAAAACAGGAAAGGGAGCAGCCCACGCTGGTTCAGGAGGAGAGGCAGCGGGGAGCGGGTCACCGAGGGTGGGCACAAGCCCACACTCTGGCTCTGTTACATTTTTTTTTTTCCTTTTCTGTGCTATCCTTTTTTTTTTTTTTAAGCCAATCACTCTTGAGACATCTATGAAAATACCACGCATACCAACAGCCAATAAAATGATCTCCCTAATCCAAATTATAGAGGTGTGAATCATGTCTTCACCGCTCCCAGGCTGCCTTCCTGAAATAGCGTTTGACCAAACTATTATCAGCCCAAAGTTTCAAACTCTTAAATGCTCTGTAAGGAGGACCTCCTCATTGTCCTAGTAGCATCATGATCATGAAATATACCGGTCTAGATTACCTGTTTAGACATATGATTTTATTTATCTTTGGTTGCACTGGGTCTTCACTGCGGTGAGTGCTTTTCTCTGACTGTGGCAAGCGGGGGCGACTCTCTAGTTGTGATGTGCGGGCTTCTCGTTGCGGCGTCTTCTCTTGGAGCACGGGCTTCAGTCCTTGCAGCCTGTGGGCCCAAGAGCTGCTTTCCCCAGGTGCTAGGGCACACGCTCAGTACTTGCGGCTCCATAGTGTGTGGGATCCTCCCTGACCAGGAGTCAAACCCGAGTCTCCTGCATTGGCAGGCGCATTCGTTACCACTGAGCCTCCAGGAAAGTCCTAGATTAACTTTTTATGGACAACATCTTTTTCTTGCTCAAACTGGGAGCTTAAAGCTTTGAATTTCAAGTGATAATATAAAGAAGGCCTATAACCCTATAAAAATATAGGAGATCGAAACGTGCTTCTTATCAAATTTATTGAAATGATCTGCTCCAGCAGGACAGTTGCGAAGATGAGCCTGGTCCCCACCGACAGAGGACAGCCTGTCTTTACTGGGCTCCTAACAGCCCACATCAATCTTGCCTTGAGGACCTTACAAAGCATCAGTAAAATTCAGTCCTGAGTCACGTCGTACAACCTCGTTCCCTACCCATCTCGATCTTAAAGGTTATTTCTGGAGAGAATAGGCCAACAAATCATCTTTTCTTAAACATTTTACTTTAGTCATTTATGAGCTCACCCATCTTGAAAAATACATCAGAAAACTTGAAGCATGGTAACTCAGAAATGACACAACAAATAATGCACAAAACTTAACCCAAATATGACATAAAGTTAAGATTATCTGTTTATGTAGAAAATAATTATTTGAATCATTCTGTTGAGGCCCTTTTCTGTTCTTATACTAGTTTGAATTTTAGGGCAAATTAATATACAATATGCTTTTCCTATTTACTCATTTTTCAGGTATGTTACAATGAGAGAAATTGGCAATGGTGAACATACCCTGTTAAAAACAGAGATAGTTTCTCAGGTTCTTCTTTAACAAGAAACGAGCTGGACATCCCTCCCGTGGATAGTGTTGTGAATGGCAATACACTACAGTACACAATGGCAATACACTACAGTACACGATGGCAATACACAATGGAGGCTATGCCTCCAACACCGTCAGCGATGCACCTGGAATTTTAAGGGAGACGCCATAAAGAGAAGGAAGGAAGACAGAAGAATGCAGGTCGGCCACTCACGTGTTTTAATCCCCAGTAGGACAGGGCCTGATAGCGGAGCACCTGGGAGGAAGAAAACAGAAGCATTCACAGCCTAAACATCCCCAGCGGGGAGCATGGAGGCCCAGCGGTCCTGACACAGGGCAGGTAGGACCCACCCGTCCACCCAGCCCCACCACCACCGGCGGGGAGGGTCCGCTGCTGTTCATTGGGTCTGGGGCCGCGGCTGCGATGGACCATCCATAAGACAGAGCTGGGGGCAAGTCACTGAGAGGGCCTGCGGTGACAGCTCTAGTTGACACTATCCTGCCTCCTAAGTTACGGTCTCATTTCGCCTCCACTGGGTGTGGGAACGTCAGCCACAGGACTCTGTAAGAGGCAGCCCTGGCCACCGACCTAAGCACCTCGAAACCCTGGAAGCTGACGCAAACAGCTTTTAATAGCAGTGGACATTTGTTGGCTTTGTTTAGACCATCTGGATATTCCATTGTGTTCGGCTGAACGCCGACTGCCGCTGGGTGACAGTTGATGTATGTTAAGCGCAAGCAAAGTGCGTCGCCCGCGCTGGGCCCCGAGAGGGAGCTTGCAGTGTTCTGTGGAATATTCCCTCAGATCGCCTGCATCCTTCGTGGCTCCGGGCCAGAGTCCTCCGACTTTCTTTTTTTTAATCAAAGGAGAGTTTTGCGTTTACTGTTTGAAAGGTTAGGAAAACCATGCCAAAGTTCCTGCAGGCAGCTTGGAGAGCTTGGGCACACAGGAACCACTTTCCGTGTGGAGGAAAAAGGAGAGGTATCCTGGGAGCAGGCAGGCTCTGCTGGTTTCACGTGCAACGTGCCTGACAAACCAGCCGGTAGAGCGCGGATAACACGGAGCCGCTGGAGGTCTGGAAAGGAGCGAGCAGCCCGGAAAAGCGAGTTCTCCTCCCCCTGCACAAGCCGGCTGGAGGTGTGCCTCTGTGCCTGGGGAGGCGCCCCTGCTCACTCAGCGCGGCTCCCCCCACTGGCCCCGACGCTGCAAGAGGGGCAAGCGCCGGAGGACCCCGCGCGGCGCGCGGCCCCGCACAAAGTCAGCGCAAGCGCAGTGGGGACCCGCGGGGCACCAGCGGGGCTCGGAAGCCTCCCCAGCGCCCGCCAGCCCGCCGGCCACACTGGAGCGCCCGTGAGACGCGTCACACGCCCTCCTGTCGCACTCGCCGCTGGTGCTGCCCGCTGCGTGAGGCCGGGGGACGCCGGCCCTGGAGCTCCGGGTGCCGCTCCGCGGTTTTTTGTTTTTTTGTTTTTTTTTACTATGTCAGTTAAAAAATGGTTTAGTAAATGGAATTCCACGTTACTGCACAAGATGGAGAAACTGGGTGATGGGTATGTAAGACTTGATCTCAGGTTGTTCAGGTGGGAAACACACCGATACCATCCTGTGTTTGGAGCACCGCCAAATCGCGATGGACAGGAGACATGAGGGGCAGAAATTCTTCCCATGACTGAAATCTATGATTTGTGTAAACCTGGATACAAGATTCAGATAACACGTGGTTCTGACAAGGACCAAAATTGTGGCACTGTCCTTCTTTATACTGGAAGGCAAGATATAGGCCTGGAAAATGCCTGCAGGAAAAGAAGAAATGGTGAAGACCAGATATACTCATCTGTGAAATGGGTATACTGCACTGCCACAGAGTCCTTCTGAGGATTAAACAGAAAGTCATGCAAAGATGTCATGCATGATACAATAGGGGAGACAAATATATATATATGTATATACATAAAATTGAGTGGCTTCCTGGTGGCGCTAGTGGTAAAAAACCTGCCTGCCAATGCAGGAGACATAAGAGACATGGGTTCGATCCCTGGGTCGGGAAGATCCCCTGGAGAAGGAAATGGCAACCCACTCCAGTATTCTTGCCTGGAGAATGCCATGGACGGAGGATCCTGGCAGGCTACAATCCATAGGGTTGCAAAAAGTGGTACACAACTGAAATGACTGAGCATGTATATATATGTAATTATGACTGATTCAAGTTGTATGGCAGAAACCAACACAAAATTGTAAAGCAATTATGCACCAATAAAAAAATTAATAAAAATTTTTAAAAAGATGTCACATATAATACAGTGTAATGTATTTCAACAAACTTTGGCTGAAAATTATTATTAGAAAATCTATACTGAAAATTTGATTATGCAAAGTTGTTACATGTACTCTGGGGGGGCCCAGGTTCAATCCCTGGTTAAGGAACTAGATCCCACATGCTGCAAGTAAGACCCAGTGCAACCAAATAAAGAAATAAAAATAAATAAATATTTTTAAAATACCCTGATAGATAGCTTTGTGAGGCTGCACTCTGTGTTCTTTAAAACAATTTACACCAAACATTCTAAGTTCCACTTGTGGATTAATTGTGTGTCAAGAGCAAATTACACCTTCTGATGGCTTCTAAAAATTGCCTTTATCTCTCAATTCTTTTCCTTATTACAAATTAAACAGGACTTCCCCGGTGGCTCAATGGATAGGAATATGCCTGGCTCAGGGTTTGATCCCTGGCCCAGGAAGATTCCACATGCTGTGGAGCATCTAAGCCCATGCACCACAAGTGCTGAGCCTGCGCTCAGAGCAGACGAGCTGCAGCTACCGAGCCCGTGTGCTACCCAGCCCGTGTGCTACCAAGCCTGTGTGCTACCGAGCCCGTGTGCTAATGAGCCCGTGTGCTACCGAGCCCGTGTGCTAACGAGCCCATGGGCTACCGAGCCCGTGTGCTACCGAGCCGGTGTGCTAATGAGCCCGTGTGCTACACAGCCCGTGTGCTACCGAGCCCGTGTGCTACCCAGCCCGTGTGCTACCGAGCCCGTGTGCTACCCAGCCCGTGTGCTAACGAGCCCGTGTGCTACCCAGCCCGTGTGCTACCCAGCCCGTGTGCTAATGAGCCCGTGTGCTACCCAGCCCGTGTGCTAATGAGCCCGTGTGCTAATGAGCCCGTGTGCTACCGAGCCCGTGTGCTACCCAGCCCGTGTGCTACCGAGCCCGTGTGCTACCGAGCCCGTGTGTTAATGAGCCCGTGTGTTAATGAGCCCGTGTGCTAACGAGCCCATGGGCTAACGAGCCCATGGGCTAATGAGCCCGTGTGCTAATAAGCCCGTGTGCTAATAAGCCCGTGTGCTACCGAGCCCGTGTGCTAACGAGCCTGTGTGCTAATGAGCCCGTGTGCTACCGAGCCCGTGTGCTAATGAGCCCGTGTGCTACCAAGCCCGTGTGCTAATGAGCCCGTGTGCTACCGAGCCCGTGTGCTAACGAGCCCATGGGCTACCGAGCCCGTGTGCTAATGAGCCCGTGTGCTACCGAGCCCGTGTGCTACCCAGCCCGTGTGCTAACGAGCCCGTGTGCTAACGAGCCCGTGTGCTACCCAGCCCGTGTGCTAATGAGCCCGTGTGCTAATGAGCCCGTGTGCTACCGAGCCCGTGTGCTACCCAGCCCGTGTGCTAATGAGCCCGTGTGCTAATGAGCCCGTGTGCTAATGAGCCCGTGTGCTACCGAGCCCGTGTGCTACCGAGCCCGTGTGCTAACGAGCCCGTGTGTTAATGAGCCCGTGTGTTAATGAGCCCGTGTGCTACCCAGCCCGTGTGCTAACGAGCCCATGGGCTACCAAGCCTGTGTGCTAATGAGCCCGTGTGCTAATAAGCCCGTGTGCTACCCAGCCCGTGTGCTAACGAGCCCATGGGCTACCGAGCCTGTGTGCTAATGAGCCCGTGTGCTACCGAGCCCGTGTGCTAATGAGCCCGTGTGCTACCAAGCCCGTGTGCTAATGAGCCCGTGTGCTACCGAGCCCGTGTGCTAACGAGCCCATGGGCTACCGAGCCCGTGTGCTAATGAGCCCGTGTGCTACGGAGCCCGTGTGCTACCCAGCCCGTGTGCTAACGAGCCCGTGTGCTACCGAGCCCGTGTGCTACCCAGCCCGTGTGCTAACGAGCCCATGGGCTACCGAGCCTGTGTGCTAATGAGCCCGTGTGCTAATGAGCCCGTGTGCTACCCAGCCCATGGGCTACCGAGCCTGTGTGCTAATGAGCCCGTGTGCTAATGAGCCCATGTGCTACCCAGCCCGTGTGCTACCGAGCCCGTGTGCTACCCAGCCCGTGTGCTACCCAGCCCGTGTGCTAATGAGCCCGTGTGCTACCAAGCCCGTGTGCTACCGAGCCCGTGTGCTAATGAGCCCGTGTGCTACCGAGCCCGTGTGCTAATGAGCCCGTGTGCTACCGAGCCCGTGTGCTACCGAGCCTGTGTGCTACCCAGCCCGTGTGCTACCGAGCCCGTGTGCTAATGAGCCCGTGTGCTACCGAGCCCGTGTGCTACCGAGCCCGTGTGCTAATGAGCCCGTGTGCTACCGAGCCCGTGTGCTAATGAGCCGGTGTGCTACCGAGCCCATGTGCTACCCAGCCCATATGCTAATGAGCCCGTGTGCTAATGAGCCCATGTGCTACCGAGCCCGTGTGCTACCGAGCCCGTGTGCTAATCAGCCCTTGTGCTAATGAGCCCGTGTGCTACCGAGCCCGTGTGCTAATGAGCCCGTGTGCTAACGAGCCCGTGGGCTACCGAGCCCGTGTGCTACCGAGCCCGTGTGCTACCGAGCCTGTGTGCTACCCAGCCCGTGTGCTACCGAGCCCGTGTGCTACTGAGCCCATGGGCTACCCAGCCCGTGTGCTAATGAGCCCGTGTGCTAACGAGCCCATGGGCTACCGAGCCCGTGTGCTAATGAGCCCGTGTGCTACCGAGCCCGTGTGCTAATGAGCCCGTGTGCTACCGAGCCTGTGTGCTAATGAGCCCGTGTGCTACCGAGCCCGTGTGCTACCCAGCCCATGTGCTAATGAGCCCGTGTGCTAATGAGCCCGTGTGCTAATGAGCCCGTGTGCTAATGAGCCCGTGTGCTACGGAGCCCGTGTGCTAATCAGCCCGTGTGCTACCGAGCCCGTGTGCTACCGAGCCCGTGTGCTAATCAGCCCGTGTGCTAATGAGCCCGTGTGCTACCGAGCCCGTGTGCTAATGAGCCCGTGTGCTACCGAGCCCGTGTGCTACCCAGCCCATGTGCTAATGAGCCCGTGTGCTAATGAGCCCGTGTGCTAATGAGCCCGTGTGCTACGGAGCCCGTGTGCTAATCAGCCCGTGTGCTAATGAGCCCGTGTGCTACCGAGCCCGTGTGCTAATGAGCCCGTGTGCTAATGAGCCCGTGTGCTACCGAGCCCGTGTGCTACCCAGCCCGTGTGCTACCAAGCCCGTGTGCTACCCAGCCCGTGTGCTAATGAGCCCGTGTGCTACCAAGCCCGTGTGCTACCGAGCCCATGTGCTAATGAGCCCGTGTGCTAATGAGCCCGTGTGCTACCGAGCCCGTGTGCTAATGAGCCCGTGTGCTACCGAGCCCATGTGCTAATGAGCCCGTGTGCTACCGAGCCCGTGTGCTACCCAGCCCGTGTGCTACCGAGCCCGTGTGCTAATGAGCCCGTGTGCTACCGAGCCCATGTGCTAATGAGCCCGTGTGTTAATGAGCCCGTGTGCTACCGAGCCGGTGTGCTAATGAGCCCGTGTGCTACTGAGCCTGTGTGCTACCCAGCCCGTGTGCTACCGAGCCCGTGTGCTACCCAGCCCGTGTGCTAATGAGCCCGTGTGCTACCCAGCCCGTGTGCTACCGAGCCCGTGTGCTAATGAGCCCGTGTGCTACCGAGCCCGTGTGCTACCCAGCCCGTGTGCTAATGAGCCCGTGTGCTACCGAGCCCGCGTTCTAATGAGCCCGCGTGCTACCGAGCCGGTGTGCTAATGAGCCCGTGTGCTACCGAGCCCGTGTGCTACTGAGCCCGTGTGCTAATGAGCCCGTGTGCTACCGAGCCCGTGTGCTAATGAGCCCGTGTGCTACCGAGCCCGTGTGCTACCGAGCCCGTGTGCTAATGAGCCCGCGTGCTACCGAGCCCGTGTGCTACCCAGCCCGTATGCTAATGAGCCCGTGTGCTACCGAGCCCGTGTGCTAATGAGCCCGTGTGCTACCGAGCCCGTGTGCTACCGAGCCCGAGTGCTAATGAGCCCGTGTGCTAATGAGCCCGTGTGCTAATGAGCCCGTGTGCTACGGAGCCCGTGTGCTAATCAGCCCGTGTGCTAATGAGCCCGTGTGCTACCGAGCCCGTGTGCTAATGAGCCCGTGTGCTAATGAGCCCGTGTGCTACCGAGCCCGTGTGCTACCC